TGGGCTGCTTGATATTTTTAAGTCGGATGCTGAAGTTGCCACTGTAATTGGGCATGAGGTACAAACCTTTTGATAGTTTTCATTTGTAAATGCACTATGTTGCTGTTAAACTGCTTGTTAAAATAGTTTGGAGAGTTGCTATTGGAACGAAAGCATGGTTTTTTTTTTTTCTGATTGTTCTGTATATTGGTTTAGGTTGGTCATGCGGTGGCCCGACATGTAGCTGAGGGAATAACAAAGAACTTATGGTTTGCAGTCCTTCAACTGGTGCTATATCAGTTTGTCATGCCCGATCTTGTGAACACAATGTCCGCTCTTTTCTTGAGGCTTCCTTTCTCCAGAAAGTAATTCTTCTTCCCCTCTTCCTATCAACATCCTGTACTGTCTTTTACTGTCTATCCTTTGATTTTACTGCAATAGCTCTTTTGTTCTCAAATAACTCATGAGTTCTACTTAGCATATTGAGGAAAAGTTAGCTTTTCTGTGGAGGTTTAGGGTTCATCTCTCACATTCTTTAGCAAATGGTCAACAGTTCATAACTTTCAATAAATTGTAAGAAAATAATCATCTGGTTAACCATTAGAAGGTGTTGGTGTAGTTAGCATGGTAGGAGAAGCGAACAAGAAAGGTTTGCGAATTAGTTTTTCACATTATTCTGCGAATTATCAGGAACAACAATTGGATAGATTGGATATATTTTGACAAACTAATCATCTAGTGAACCATTTGGCTCCAAGAACTATTGTTTTAAGCTGCTGTTGTTGTAGTTTGGGGTAATGGTAAGAGAAATGAAATATGTTTGTGTGTACGAGGAAGAAAAACAAGTTCTGATGCGTTCTATTTTCCCCTGTGTCTGTGTTTGGTGTTACATCACAGGATGGAGATAGAAGCGGATTACATTGGTTTGCTGTTACTTGCATCTGCGGGATATGACCCACGAGTAGCCCCGAAAGTGTATGAGAAGCTTGGACAACTCGGTGGAAACGTACTTGCAGATTATCTATCGACACATCCGTCTGGAAAAAAGAGATCACAACTTTTGGCTCAAGCCAATGTGATGGAAGAAGCACTAATGATCTATAGAGAAGTCCAATCAGGTCGCCGTGGCGTTGAAGGCTTTCTTTAGCCTCTTCTCTATTCATCTCGCCTGCTTCTGTACATTATTACTCTCCTTTTTTTATGGTTTGAATAAATAGCAATTTTACACATTAATCATGTTGCATGTTATGGTAGATGTTTATATCGTTAAATTGATTGGTGCAATAGAATGATTCCGATTGAGACGCATAGTTTGATATTTTGGTCTTAGAATTTTTGACAGAGAAAATGCAAATGGTGAAAATAGGAAAACAAAAAAAACACTCAAAATTAAAGTGAAATCGAATAGTTTATAATTATTGAATTCAAGATATCTATCAATTCAATGAATCAAATTGATGAATTGGAACCAATCAATGGAAAAATATCAAATATCTAGATGAAGCCACTTCTTGGTTCTTTTGGGATATTACTAGCTTGAGAGATAGAGGGAGTGAGAAAGTGGGTCATTTAGAGTTTGAGCTTTAAATGTGTTTTTATAAATGTTGTGATAGACCGTTGAGCTGACCACTGCTATTATTATCAGTAAATTCAATTCCATTGACAGAGACCCAAAATTATTGTGGTTTTTTAGATTTTTTGTTTACACTTTTTGGTATGGAGACCCAAAAAAAAAATATTTGACCAATGACAATATCATTTTTAAAACTAATTAAACTAGCTAGTAATTAAAACTTTAGTATTCTTAATGATGTTTTCAGACATATCAATCATTACATCAAATCTTTGTTTTGGTAAACAAAACTCAAGTTTAGGCTTTTGTATCATATAAATACAAAAGAGGTACGAATGATTCAGTCTACTGTCTACCAAAGAGAATCCTACAGACTTTTGTCTTAAAATTCCTACTTTTTAATTACATACTTTATGTTTTTCTGAATACTTGTTTATTATATTCCTCTCCTCATAAAAATCCAAAGCAAATAAAAAAGCTTGATGTGACTGATTTTGTTTCCTACGTAAATTGAAAAATGAGAAAGTGATAAATCAAGAATATGCTCGTAGACTTCAAGACTTACTTAAATGAATCTCCTGCCTCATAATCTCATTGCTTAAACTAAACTTAACTAAGCATTTAGAAACTGATTTCGAGATGAGTAATAAATTCTCAAACCTAACGGTACTAATATTACATAGAAGTAGGAGAAGGAAGCCATGAGCACATTAATTTACTCTTCTCTGCCATTACCAACCAACTTGTTAGTAATTATGCACACAGAACATCTATGAAAACCACCTCTTCATCTTTATTACTTCCTCCAAAGTAACAACAACTATCTTTATCTCTTCTTCTCCATAGAGATAGAGAGAAGAATCATCTCCTATACTCTCTCCAAGACTCCAACAATGGCTAACAAAAACCCACTTCGAAAATCCTTTCTTTTCATAATCTTATCAATCAATCTCATCTTTCTTCAAGGAGAAACAGCTACTCAAATCTCTAACAAGAAGACTTATGTTGTCCATATGGATAAATCTGCTATGCCTTTACCTTACACTAATCACATACAATGGTACTCTTCGAAGATAAACTCTGTAACACAAGGCAAATCTCAAGAAGAAGAAGGTAACAACAACAGGATACTCTACACTTACCAGACTGCGTTTCACGGTTTAGCTGCTCGGCTTACTGATGAAGAAGCAGAGAGGCTTGAAGAAGAAGATGGTGTTGTAGCTGTGATTCCTGAGACAAGGTACGAGCTTCACACGACAAGAAGTCCAACGTTTCTTGGGTTAGAAAGACAAGAGAGTGAGAGAGTTTGGGCTGAGAGAGTCACCGATCATGATGTGGTAGTTGGTGTTTTAGACACTGGGATTTGGCCTGAGAGTGAGAGCTTCAACGATACAGGTATGTCCCCTGTTCCTTCTACTTGGAGAGGAGCTTGTGAAACTGGAAAAAGATTCTTGAAACGTAACTGCAATAGAAAGATTGTTGGTGCTAGAGTTTTCTATAGAGGCTATGAAGCTGCAACGGGAAAGATCGATGAAGAGCTCGAATATAAATCACCGAGAGACCGAGATGGTCATGGGACACACACTGCAGCTACTGTAGCTGGTTCATCTGTTAAAGGAGCAAATCTTTTTGGATTTGCTTATGGGACAGCTCGAGGGATGGCTCCAAAGGCTAGAGTAGCTGCTTATAAAGTCTGTTGGGTCGGAGGATGTTTCAGCTCGGACATTTTGTCGGCGGTTGATCAAGCTGTTGCTGATGGAGTTCAAGTTCTATCTATATCATTAGGTGGTGGGATCTCTACTTATTCTCGAGACAGTTTGTCCATAGCAACATTTGGAGCAATGGAGATGGGTGTTTTCGTATCGTGTTCTGCCGGTAATGGAGGTCCTGATCCGATTAGTCTCACTAATGTTTCTCCATGGATCACAACAGTTGGTGCAAGTACTATGGATAGAGATTTTCCAGCAACAGTGAAGATAGGAACTTTGAGAACATTTAAAGGAGTTTCACTTTACAAAGGAAGAACAGTTTTGTCTAAGAACAAACAGTATCCTCTGGTTTACTTAGGAAGGAATGCAAGTAGTCCTGATCCAACCTCGTTCTGTCTAGACGGGGCTTTGGATCGTCGCCATGTAGCGGGCAAGATTGTGATATGCGACCGCGGTGTTACTCCACGTGTGCAAAAGGGTCAGGTTGTGAAAAGAGCAGGAGGAATTGGGATGATTTTGACTAATACTGCAACAAATGGTGAAGAGCTTGTTGCAGACTCTCATTTGCTTCCAGCAGTTGCAGTAGGAGAGAATGAAGGTAAACTGATCAAACAGTACGCGATGACGAGTAAAAAAGCTACAGCGAGTTTAGAGATTCTTGGAACAAGAATTGGTATCAAACCATCTCCTGTTGTAGCAGCATTCTCTTCAAGAGGACCAAATTTTCTGTCTTTGGAGATCTTGAAACCTGACTTGTTGGCTCCAGGAGTGAACATTCTTGCAGCTTGGACTGGAGATATGGCGCCATCGAGTTTATCATCTGATCCAAGGAGGGTTAAGTTCAATATACTGTCTGGAACTTCAATGTCATGTCCTCATGTGAGTGGTGTGGCTGCTTTGATCAGATCAAGGCATCCAGATTGGAGTCCTGCAGCAATCAAATCAGCTCTCATGACAACCGCTTATGTTCACGACAACACGCTTAAGCCTCTTACCGATGCATCAGGAGCAGCTCCTTCATCGCCTTATGATCACGGTGCAGGACATATAGATCCCTTAAAAGCTATAGATCCGGGTTTGGTCTACGACATTGGACCTCAAGAGTACTTTGAATTCCTCTGCACTCAAGATTTAAGTCCTTCACAGCTTAAGGTATTCACAAAACATTCAAACAGAACATGCAAACACACTCTTGCCAAGAATCCGGGAAACTTGAACTACCCGGCGATATCAGCTTTGTTCCCAGAGAACACCCATGTTAAAGCCATGACACTTAGAAGAACTGTGACCAATGTTGGTCCTCACATTTCAAGCTACAAGGTTTCTGTCTCGCCGTTCAAAGGCGCATCCGTCACTGTCCAGCCCAAAACACTTAACTTCACTTCAAAACACCAGAAGCTTTCCTACACGGTTACTTTCCGGACAAGAATGCGGTTGAAGAGGCCTGAGTTTGGTGGTCTTGTGTGGAAGAGCTCAACACATAAAGTTCGTAGTCCGGTTATCATCACATGGTTGCCTCCTCTGTAGAACAACAACCAATGTTTGAGCAATTTTAATGTTTTTAGTTCCACAAATAAAAAAATTCCTCATGTAATGAGAGCTATTCTCTAGATCAATGCTTTGTCATTTATAAAACAACCATATGTTCTTCTTTTGTCACAATGAGAACACTTGAGACAAGTCAATTGAATTTGACATAAATCAGATATGCAAAACCAATGATAATTCTTCTTAGATTTGGGCTACCAAGAATAATTTGGGCTTTAAAAGGCCCAAGTAAAGGCAACGCAAAGGTTACTATACGACGTGATTTCTAGGGTTTCACAAAACAGAGGCGATGAAGAGAAGACGCGAAGCTACAACACCATCGCCGACACGACTTCGTCACCGTGAAGATATCAATATACCTCTCGATGTGACGGTGGAGATACTAAAAAAGCTCCCGACGAAATCTATAGTGAGGTTCCAATTCGTTTCGAAGCAATGGTCATCAGTTATCAACATGCGTAGAGACTTCATAGACTTCATCATGAAACGTTCTTTGGCTCAACCTCCACGTGATGCCTATTTCATCGCTTCAGACGACTACCGAGAATGTTTTTTAGCCTTCTTGTCTACTGACAAAGAAACAGTATTAATCCCTAAACGATTTCGTCATTACCTTCGCGGTTTGGTTTGTTGTTGGTCAAAATCTCGTCAAGTAGTTTTATATAACCCTACCACAAGGCAGTCCTTGTACTTCCTAAAGAAGAAAACGATGCACATGGAGACTAGTTTCATCGGGTACGACCCTCTTGAGAATCAATATAAAGTATTGTTCTTACCAAAGTACAATCCTGAGCAGCCTTGTCTAGTTTTTACATTGGGAGAAACAGCAACGAAGTGGAAGACTATACAAGGCGTTGAATCTCACCATCCATTGCAAGGTGCGCTTTGCATCAATGGGAGAATCTATTACCAAGCAGGGATTGTTGATCAATATGACTCTACTTCTCTATACAAACTGATGAGTTTTGATGTTAGGTCGGAGGAGTTTCATAACATTGAAGCTCCTAAAACATTGATGGATTACCGTTCTTATCTAATAAACTACCAAGGGAAGTTAGGATTCGTGTGTTGCGAAAAGGGCGTGGATATTTGGGTTATGGAGACACAAGGATGGTCCAAGATTTTCTTTAGTGAGATGGAATGTTTTAACAAATTGTGTAGCGTGGGTGTTACTCGTGGTGGTGAGATCGTTTTTACCGAATGTGTGTACCGCACTCAACAGAGGTTAGGTGTCTTCTATTTTGATCCGAAGCTAGATAGTAAGAGGTATATTGACCTCGAAGGCATTTATCCTAAGGAAAAAAGGCGTACCGATTGTATAATATGGACTGTTCCGGATTATGTTGAGAACACTATGCGTTTATATTAGATAAGAATATATAGTCCTATTTCATAAAAAATTCTTGCTGTGGATTTTCTTTTTTTCTTTTTTAGTTAAAATTAGATATAGTCCAAAAAATACTAAATGTCTTCTTTGGTTTAGATATATGCAGATCTAAAATGCATTCCTCATGTAGTGAGAGCTTTTCTCTAGATCAATGGTTTTAAACCATGCAACAAATCGTTATTAAGGTGATGTTTGTAATTTCTGCATATGGATTGCATCCAAATGCTCTATCTAGATGATAAATTCAGTTGTTGTTTGTTTATGTATGTGGTTGTGTCTTTGATGCTCAATGCTCAACAACTTTTTTTTTTTTTTTTTTTTTGTAAATTTGTCTCTCCGTTTCGATGTATTTATTAATATCAAAGTGACTAAAATAAAACAATCTCAACTTCAATGATATTTTTATGTTCTAAATTATATTTACAACATAAATGATATTTTAAAATAATTTTTTTAATTTTCCGTTTTTAATAGTTTAGAAGCCTTCTTTTGTTAACCTAAACTCCAAGGGATTAGTGGGTATGGTGGTTCACATAACGTTAAAGTACTCTAGCATGTATGTGATTCTAACCAAAAATCTCAAAATCAGGGTCATAATCGTAAATTTCATATGCTGATTGTTTCGAAAAAATCACATAAATAGCTGGCCTCTCTGCTCTCTATTTCGCAACGTTAACTCTTCTCCTCCCACAACTAACGGTCAGCGAGAGTTGAAATTTCAAAATTCAATTCTTCAAATCCCCTTTGAAGAAAAAAACGAGTTAGGGTTTTACGTGATCACATGGAGAAGCGATTTTGTTTTTCTATCTTCTTCTGATTTTGATTCTTTTCTCCGATCAATTGAATGGCGTCTCTGATTGATACAAGGATTAAAACTTGTCTATTGGTTTGAATTCGGATCGTGTGATAGTCCTACCAAATCGAAGAAGGTACGCAATGTTTCGATCTCTATCTTCTTGTTTAGTTTGGGAATCTAGGGCTTTGGATTTGGAATTTGCTTTCCTTGATTTCTGTTCGAATTTAGTTGTTTGATGGTTTTGAGAACTTTTTATTATTAAGGTAATCGCGCAATTGTTCAATGGTTGGTGATCGGAGAGTTTTAATGTTCTGAAATAGTTGAACAGAGTCTACATCAAAATTTCTCTCTTATGAATTTAACTGGTTGAAAAAACTACCGATTTAGAGCATTTCCCTCATGTCCATGTTTTTGATTGTATCGTTTTGGGATTTTAAGGAACCAATCATATATATTTGCATAATCTGGACTATGGATCTTTGTGGCGTCGTGATGAGTCTATCACTGTCTTTATCTGTGATTCTGTGAAGATTAATTTGAAAATAAAATGGTTAATTTGCAAGAAGAATCTATGGGAACACATACATTGTTTATCTCAGATATCTTTTGTTTCTATATTTGCATGTTCATGTCCCCATTTCCGAGTCTTGTGGTCATATGATTCAGGCAATCAAGTGGCAATTCATATCTCAATTTGGAGACTGGAACAAAATGTAAGTTTTCAAACATTGTTTGAATTGTATTTGTAGCGTAGATGATGTATTGGAGTCTCTTTTATATTATCTTTAATGTGTTCTCATGAATGAGATTGTTTTTCTAACTTTTATGTTTTTCAGTTGTGTTCTTCGTTTTACAGCATGATCGTAAATATTAAGAGTAAACAGATTAGCAAGCAGTCAGATTTTGGCTCTGTAAGACTCTTACCAAGTTTTTTCTTTCTTCCTTGGCATTGATTTTGTGGTTTCATTTTATTGTTTGTATGTTTTACTTTCAGATGCAGTATTTTCAAGTGAAATTTTGGCTTCGCAAGCAAAAGCAAATGAGGGGTCGTTTCTCCTGCCTCATGCAGATAATTTTGAGGTTTGATTTTGTAGCCAAGAGCATATGCGAGGTCAGATATCTCTCTCTCTGTTCTCATGTCTATTGCGTCATGCCTATCATCTCTCTCTCTTTTATATTATCTTAATGTGTTCTCATGAGTGAGATTGTTTTCCTAACTTTGATAGTTATATTTTTCAGTTGGGTTCTCATTATGCGTCAATTTTACAGTAAGTAGATAGTAAGCAGTCAGATTTTGGCTCTGTAAGACTCTTACCAAGTTTTTTTTTCTTGGCATTGGTTTTGTGGTTTCGTCTATTGTTGTACTTTCAGGTGGCTCAGTAAGCAAAAGCAAATGGGGTCGTGTCTCCTGCTTCACGGTCCAGAGATCAAAAATTTCGAAGGTGATTTTGTAGTCAAGAGCATATGAGAGGTTAGATATCTCTCCCTCTATTCTCATGTCTTTTGTGTCATGCATAGATTCTCTGAGTCATCTATTGTGTCTTGGCTTGTTTGGGTTACTCACACAGTCACACTATCTAGAAACACACACGTTCACAGACACAATGCACTAACTCAAAACAAACCCAAAACAAAACTCAAACATAACATACACAAAACTCAAACACAACACAAAGAAAAAGTTCACATCACACGCAACAAAACTCTAAACACACGCAAACACAACATAACACAAGAATTAAAATACAGCACAACATAAAACTAGACACAAGAAAGAGAGAAAACAACAATAACTTCACGATTCATATCTTTTCTGTTGCTAAGTCAATTTCAGGTGAAGTATCTTTCTCTTCTCATTTTCTTTCCTTTCTTGGTCTCTTACAACTATTAATCATTTTTTTGGTCACATTGACGCTTGGTACGTTTAGTGAAGAATTTCGTACTTTGATGTTATTCCAAAAGAGAAATACAAAGCCACTACAAGCAAAAACGGTGTCCTGCATACAAAATTTATTCAGATATCAGATATATGTTTCTTTCCATACATATCAGGGATGCTCGGTGATGATTCAAAATCCAAGATATAAACTAGACTTCTAAGGTAAAGTTTCTCTATTTCTTCTCATTACTTTTGCTTCATACAAATTTTCTTATCAATACATACATTAGAAAGGGCAAACCAATCGTAAAAACTGGTTTTTATCATACTATAAACATGTTCAAAATTTCAGCTGCTGACATTGTTTCCTTGTCGAGATTAACAGAAACAACAGGAGAAAAGTAGCCGAATACCGACATTGGATCCGACTTTGTAAGATTTGCAGTAAGTTTCTTCACTAGCATTATTTTTCTGGTTTAATTTTACAGTCTTATGTATTTAGTAACTGCTATTAGAATGGCTTTGTATCATCATGATGGAGGACTTTTAAGCTGAAAATAACTAAACTTAGGAAAGTGATTCAATTGCCTCGGAAAAAGGAAGGATCAGGTAGATATACTATCTGCATCCCTTTTCAGAGTTCTTGTAATTTTTTTATGGTCTTGTATATATATAGTATACTGCTAACATAATGGTTTTGTACCAAGATAGACGATTCGTAAGCGGAAAGAACCAAATTTAAGAAAGTCATCCAGTCTCCTCGAAAGAAGAAGGGTCAGGTAGATAAATTACACACACCGATACAGTGTTTTCTGGAAATGTCTGACGTGTTTGAGTGATATATAACTTGCACGAACTAATAAAGCATATCATATTTCTTTACTAGGTCTTGATTTCCAAGGTACCATACTAACGATATCAGGGATCGGATTCTTGTTGTTGGAGAGTCTTGTGCAAGCAAATGAGACAAGAAAATATGTTCTTCGGTGCTAAGGTGATTAAATTTCTTCATCACCTCTTAACATTCTCGTTATTTGCTAACTTGAAGGGTTACGTTTTTTAGTCGGGTTCTTCGTTATACAGCATGATCCGTCAAAGATTAATAACAAGAAATGAAAAACCAGTCAGCCTCTGTAAGATTCTTACCAAATTTTTTCTTGGCAATGATTCGTAGTTTTTTTTATTGTTTGAATGTCGTGTTAACGTGCTGTTTGCTCTGCCCATAATGTTTGCTAACAAAATGCTTTTAATACTAGAGAGTGGATCCTTATTCTACAAAAGAACAAAGTTCTTGCCAAGAGCAAATGAGAGGTCTTATATCTTTCAGCTGCACTGTACAACATTTCCAGAGAGGATTTTGGGATTTTGTAACCAAGAGCATATGAGAGGTGAGGTAAAGTATTTCTTTTCCTCTATTCTCATGTGTATTTTCTCATGCATTCGTTCCTACAGGTTATTTGCATTTGATGAGCCTAGGTGGCTTGGCTTGTTTTGGTTACTCAAACTATCTAGAAACACACAACTTCACGAACACAAATACACTCAAAAACAATCAGGAACATTGTTATATATTTCTAATTGCATTTATTTAGTTTCTTGCTTCCAAACTTTTGTTTACATCTTGATCTTGTCATTTCGTTTTGATCAGGTTTTGAAACACTGTTAAATCATATTTCTGCCAAGATGATGGTTGGATTCTCTTTTCGACATCTTAATGCGTTTCAAGCGTTTTACAATTTCTATTCCTCTAGAGTGAGATTGTTTTCCTAAGTCGAAGAGTTATGTTTTTCAGTTGGGGGTTCTTCGTTATACAGCATGATCTATCAAGATTAAAAGTATAAAAATTTTGCAAGGAGTTAGATTTTGGCTCTGTAAGACTCTTACCAAGTTTTTTTTTTTTTTATCTTGGCATTGATTTTGTGGTTTCATTTTATTGTTTGTTTATTGTTCTTTCAGGTAAAATTTTGGTTGAGTAGGCAAAGAGCAAATGACGGGTCGTGTCTCCTGCTTCAGCCTTCATGCAGATATCTTTCAGGTCCAGAGAACAAAATGGTAAGGTGATTTTGTAGCCAGGAGCATGAGAGGTCAGATATTTCTCCCTCTATTCTCATATCTATTTTGTCATGCATAGGTTCTCTGGGTCATCTCAACAGGTTATTTTCATTTGATTAGCCGAGCTGTCTTAGCTTGTTTTGATTACTCACACTATCTGAAAATACACACGTTCACAGACACGAAAAACACACAAATACAATGCATTCAAACTCAAAACACACCGAAATACAACAAAACTCAAACACTACCAAAAAAAATCACATCACACACAACAAAACTCTAAACACTCTCAAACACAACATAACACAAGAAATAAAATACAGCACACTGCAAAACTAGACACAAGAAAGAAAGAAGACAATAAATAACTTAACGATTAATATCTTTTTTTATTATTGATAAGAACTCTGAGATTATGTTGCCAAGTCAATTTCAGGTGAAGTATCTTTCTCTTCCCATTTTTCTTTCTTTTCTTAGTCTTTTACAAACTATTAATCATTTTGTTGGTCACATTGAATCTAATTACTTTTTATGCTGCTCTAAAAGTGAGATTCAAGGGAGTACAAGCGAAAACAGTGTCCTGCATACAAAAGTAAATAGGTAATCAATATATTTACTTAGATATGTTTCGTACTGTGATTTCTTGTGAAGGGATCCTAAGAGTTTTAAGGTGATGATTCAAAATCCAAGAAAAACACTAAGAGTTTTAAGGTGAAGTTTCTCGATTTCTTCTCATCTACTTTTGCTTCATACACAATTATCAAAATGTTCAATATTTCAGCTGTTAACATTGTTTCCTTGCCAAGATTAACAGAAACAACAGGAGAAACGCAGTCGAATCCCGGATTGGATCATACTTAGTAAGATTTCGAGTAAGTTTCTTCATTAGCATTAATTTTGTGGTTTTATCTTATAGTCATATATATTTAGTAACTGCTATTTTGTATCAAGATGGAGGACTCTTAAGCTGAAAATAACTAAACTTAGGAGAGTGATTCAGTTGCCTCGGAAAAGGGAAGGATCAGGTAGATAAACTGTCTTGATCCTTTTTGTAGTTTTTTTTATGGTCTTGTGTATATAGTATACTGCTAGCATAATGGTTTTGTACCAAGGTAAAGGATTCTTAAGAGGAAAAATAACCCAAATTTAAGAAAACCATTCAGTCTCCCTGAAAGAAGAAGGGTCAGGTAGATAAACACACACTGATCCGATGTTTTTCTGGAAATTTCTGACGTGTTTAAGTAATCTATAACTTGCAATGACTAATAAAACATATCATATTTATCTTCTCGATCTCAATTTCCAAGGTACAATACAAATGAAGTCAGGGATCGGCTTCTAGTTGTTTGAGAGTCTTTTGCAAATGAGACAACCAAATACATTCTACAGTGCTAAGGTGACGAAATTTCACCATCTCCTCTTACACAACTTGGTACTCTCTTATTGTGTTTATATTTTTTCTAACTTGAATGGTTATGTTTTTTATTTGGTTTCTTCGTTATACAGCATGATCCGCCAAGATTAAATAACAAAATTGAGAAACCAGTCAGGCTCTGTAAGATTTTTAGCATATTTTTATTGTTTGTATGTCGTGTTAACGTCCTGTTTGCTAACAATATGCTTTGAATACCAGAGATTGATACCAGAGAGTGGATTCTTATTCTACAAAGAACAAAGTTCTTGCCAAGAGCAAATGAGAGGTCATATATCTTTCAGCTGCACATAACATTTCCAGGCGATTTTGTAGCCAAGAGTATATGAGAGAGGTCAGGTAAAGTAGATATTTCCCTCTATTCATTCTCATGTGTATTTTCTCATGCATTCGTCCTTACAGGTTATTTGCATTTGATGAGCCTATGTGGCTTGGCTTGTTTAGGTTACTCAAACTATCTAGAAACACAGAGACACACAAACACAATCACCTAAACTCAAAACACACCATAAGACAACAAAATTCAAATATGAACATATAAAACGCAGACACGACACAGACTCACGCAAATAAATTTAAAACACCTTCAAACAGAAGAAATAAAATTCAACACAACACAATACTAGACATAAGAAAGAAAAAACAATAACTTCACGATTAATATCTTTCTTTAATGTCAAGAACTTTGCCATTCTGTTGACACGTCAAATTCCAGGTGAAGTATCTTTCTTTTTAGTTTTTTTTTTTTTTAGTCTCTTACAATTATCAATCATTTTGTTGGTCATATTGAAGTTAATTATGTTTTCTTAACACTTCCGTAATTTTGTACTTTTTCTTATGGTCTTGTCTCTTTACTCATAGTTTACTGGTAACATAATGATTTTGATCAAGATTCATGATTCTTCTTTTTTGGTATCAAAGGATATAGGATTCTTAAGCTGAAAAAACTAAATTCAAGGAAGTAATTCAGTTGCTTCGAAAAATGAAGGTTCAGGTAAATAAACTATCTTGTTCTCCCTTAGCTGTTTATTGGTATTCACAATCTATAAATAAACTGTCAAAGGATATTGTGTGTTACTTTATTACATTATTCCCGTGGCATCACTGTGTATTTCCATCAAAGAAATGACATGAGTTTGTTTCTTGGTGCAGAAAGTTTGTGGTGTTTATTCCCTCAGCACTTCCTCTTACGGTAATTCAATCTCTTTGTCTTCGCTTAGTCTCTTACCCCAGTTGGCATTTGAGTAGACTCTGCACAATTCTCGTCGTAAGTTTCTTTCTTCACATAAATTTCATTGTTTTTATTTTTTCTTCCATGTTTTCAGTTAGACAATTAGTGTCCTGATTACTCTGCTTCTTGCTAACAGAATAGTTTTCTTTTAACATTTTTAGGCTGAGAAACAGAACTTCAAGGAGAGATTTATCTGCCAATGAGAAAATGAAAGGTTATGTAAACAAATAAACTCTTTTAGTCTTCATGCATATGTTTTGAGAAACAACAAAAAAGCAAAATTCCAGGAGAAAATTCAGTCACCAAGAAGGCAAGAACAAATGACGGGCCAGGTTAAAACACAAACTCTCTTTGTCTCCTTCTCGTGCATTTTACCTTATGCATAGGTGATAGGTCTCTGAGCTACAAAGGGTAAGGTAAATATAACTTGTTTGGGTTTCTCACACTCGAGCTCAATTAAGACCAACCTAAAGCACAAAAACTGCGCTTAAACAAAACAAAAAAATCATAAACAAATCACACAAGAAACAAGCAAAACAAAAACATCACACACGATACATACTACTTTCAAAACACACTCAAACGCAACAAACTCAAATACAGTATAACAAACGAGCAGAAAAAAAAATACACAACAAACTAAATAAATCATAACGACGTGTAAACCAAGATACATTCTTTTTGACTTTACAAAGGAGAAAGCTTGGAATGTTTAAGTTCCTATACTAAAGAAAGTGGAGAAATGGGCATGGGTCATGTTCCCACATTCTCGGAACAGAGGATTCCCTTTGTGCAAACTAAACCAAAAAGGTGAAGGAACAAAAAGTAATAATTAGCGTTAAGTTTTCCTATCGCCAACAAAAACTTGGGCTTTTCTAATTTTCGACTTACGTGACATACTATACAATTACAATTTTACAAGTAATCTCTAGGGTTTCATAAACCAAAGGTGATGAAGAGAGGACACGAAGAGACGAGACCTCACCATCGTCGACACGACGAGTTCTTCGCGGTGGAGATATCAAAATACCTCCTCGATCTTACGGTGGAGATACTCAAAAAACTTCCCGTGAAATCTCTTTTGAGGTTCCTATGCGCAGAGCCGGCTCTGAATGGTAATGCGCCAGAAGCCAAAAAAATTTTTTTGGATCGATTAATAATAACTTAACTTTAGGGAAAAAATAAAATAAACGGAAAAACTGTAACAAAGGAGGATCGAACCATGTACCTCACGCTACCGCACTAATGAGTAATGACCCATGTACCTTAAGTTAATTGGGTCATGGAGACACAAGGATGGTCCAAGGATCTTTTTTTTATGAGATAGAGGGTTCAATAAAATGGCGCATCTTGGATGCTACTCATGATGGTGAGATCGTTTTGGTCAGGTGGGGGTACCTCTCCTATGACAGGTTATGTGTTTTATATTATGATCCGAAGCGAAACACTAAGAGATATGTTGACTTCGAAGGCATTTTTCCAAAATTTCCATCAGGATTGTTCCGGATTATGTTGAGAACACAATGCGTTTGTATTAGATGAGAATTTTCCAATAGAGCTTGGGGTTCTTCATATATAAAGCCTATTATTATTCTAAATAAATTGGTGAGTTTTTTTCTTTTTTTGGTTAAGATTAAATTTTGTCCAAAAAATAGTACGTGTCTTTTTTTTTTTAATGATAATTCGGGTGATCCGGTTCAACGGACACTATGAGCTCTAAACCATGTCGTGAAAACTTTTCTTCCTAGCTGGTTCTCGGGTCAACGGGCCATGAGATCCGACTAATTCCGGGATCAAGGAGAACCATGTGAAAACCTCCTGGCCCGAGATTAGTCAAATATGAGGTAACTCATTACAATCTTCCCTTATCTCACTACCACTAGACAACTCCCGTATGAGCTATGCGTCTTTTTTGGTTTTACGTTAGTTTAGAACATCTACATTGGTTTAGACTTTAGAACCTCACATGAATATCTTAGCATTAAGATATTAACATATTTGTATAATTTAATCATATATTTAAATTTTAAGATCAAAACAAAACAAGATCCAATGACAAATGTTAAGAAAGGGTTCTTAATAAGAGTTCATTGTATCTTCCTTAACTCCTCTCTCCTTCTCTCTCACTTTTTTCCAATTTTTTTTTTAACATATGTTATTTGGTACTCCCTCCGTTTCAGTTTAGTTGTCGTTTTAGGATTTAAATTTTGTTTCATAATAGTTGTCGTTTTAGGTTTTCAATACAAATGTTTGGTGAAAATTCCAGTTTTATTCCTACTGTTTTAATGTTTTGGCCAATGAAATTTTTTATAAAATATGTTAATAAAGAGTAAAACAAAAACGGAGGGAGTACTATCTTTCTAATTAAAATCGTTTCATATAATTATATGTGAGATTTCAAATTAATTCCCTTACCTAAATTTATATATTTAACTAAAACCCCACCAAATATTATTAGCAGCATGGAAATGTTGTCACGAACTTATACTAAAAATATCTAGACTTGCATGTGTACAAACTTAGCGTAAGAGTGAAACAACCTATAGTTTATTGTATGCTGTACATGTTCCATTTCAAGTTGTCCTTTCGAGATACGGACTCTTAGGAATAAGAAAGTCGGTTATATTCCAATACCATGAATCAAAACTCTGTACTTGCCAGTAGTTTAAGAGAACATGCAAAAATCATTTTATTTTATTTAAATTGCAGAGTAGATAATACTTAAAAGACCGGTCAAATCAGATTTTAAATTTTGTAAAATCAAAAGTTTAAATTTGATATCATAAGTTTTAGAGCTAGATGTTAGCGAAGAGAGAGAATGATGAATCGAGAGAGAAAGTTTGTTACAGATTTAGAAAGATTCTTCTCATTCAATTAGTCAATAAAGCTGTACAATTGAGTGTATATATATACAAGTAGACTAAACCAGCTAAACCTGACTAAACCAAGTAAACCGACTAATTAATTACATAAGTAGATAATACTCTCCAATAGGCCCCCTCAAGAGGAGACGAAGATGTTACAGAGACTCATCTTGGACTGTAAGTGAGCACACTGTTGAGGGAATAGAGGTTTAGTCAGTATATCTGCTACCTGATCTTCTGTTTTCACATGAAGCATTTTGAGCAAACCTTTATCCAGTTTTTCCCGGACGGTGTGGCAATCAATCTCAATGTGTTTGGTACGTTCGTGGAAAACTGGATTGGTAGCTATATAGATGGCAGCAATGCTATCTGAAAAGAGAACTGAGATAGAAGGAGTACCAATGCGCAAATCAGAGAGAAGAATAGCAAGCCAAGAGATCTCACAAGAAGCAAGAGCTAGAGCGCGATACTCTGCTTCAGCAGAAGAACGAGAGACAGTGACTTGTTTCTTAGAACGCCAGGAAATGAGAGAGGAGCCCAAGAACATTGCAAATCCTGTAGTTGAGCGTCTACTATCTTGACAAGAAGCCCAATCAGAGTCTGCAAAACCTGTGAGAGTGAGATCAGGATCCGCAGAGTAGAAAAGGCCTTGACCAATAGTTCCTTTGATGTACTGCAGTACTTTGTATACAGCTGTAAGATGAGATGTGCGAGGTGCGGAAGAGAACTGGCACAACTTGTTTACAGCAAATGTGATATCAGGACGAGTAATGGTGAGATACATTAATCTCCCCACAAGACTGCGATACATCTCTTTATCCTCCAATAACTCACCATCAGTCTTGAGCAATTTCTGATTTGGAACCATTGGGACTGAAGATGGTTTACAACCAAGCATGCCTGAAGAAGTGAGAAGCTCCAGAGCATATTTTCTCTAACAAATGGATATACCAGAGGAATTGCGGGCTATCTCCAAGCCTAGAAAATACTTGAGAGGACCAAGTTCCCGCAACTTAAAACTCTGTTTCAGTGCCTCTGTTAACTGAGTAGCTCCTTCTTCTGAAGTACTAGCAATAACAATATCGTCAACATAGACCAATACTGCAATGAATTCATTACCATGATTGCGGACAAACAATGTATGATCACCATGACACTTAATGAACCCCGGATGAATAAGAGAAGCTGAGAATTTTAAAAACCATTGCCTCGATGCTTGTTTTAAACCATAGATAGACTTCTTCAATCTACAAACAACATTCTTAGGCAGAGAGGCCCCCTTAATGTCAGCATATCCTTCTGGTAATCTCATGTAAATATCCTCCTCCAAATCTCCATTTAGAAAAGCATTAGAAATATCAAGTTGGTTAAGAAACCACTTCTTGGAAGCTGATATCTTGAGTAACATTTTCACAGTGGCCATCTTTGCTACAGGTGAAAAAGTCTCTTTGTAATCTAAGCCTTCCTTCTGAGTGTAGCCCTTAGCAACAATTTTGGCTTTATAACGCTCTAGAGTACCATCTGCATAAAACTTCAGAGTGAAAACCCACTTGCAACCCACAACTTTCTTTCCTGGTGGCAAAGTGGTGATCTCCCAAGTATTTGTGCTTTCCATTGCCCCTATTTCTTTATCAATAGCTCCACACCATTCTTTTGAATTCTTTGCCTCAGAATATGATTGAGGGATTGGAATTTGAGTAATGTTATTGATGTATAACATGTAAGATGGAGAGAGTTTTGAGTATGAAAGAAAGGAGGAAATGGGATGATGAGTGACATCATTGTCAAAAGAATAACAATGATAATCATTTAAGTGGGCAGGTGGTTTCCTGACTATGTGATTAGAATTTGTGTTGATGGGGAAACTATGAGGTGATGAAAGAGAAGGAATAATGGGATTACCTGAAGGCAAAAATTCATTGGTGTACCAATGGCCACAGCTTCAGTCTGCAGACCAGACAATGGAAAAGTGTCTTCATGAAACTCCACATGACGAGATATATAGACTGTTAGTCTCCAAATCCATAACCTTGTAACCCTTATAACCGGAAGGGTATCCCAAAAACACACAAGCACGAGACCTAGGCTGAAACTTATGCCTTTGTTGTAAAGATGTAGATGCATAGCATAAACAACCAAAAGTCCGTATGCGAGAATAATCAGGGATTTTACCTGTGAGAACTTCATAAGGAGTTTTATTTGACAAAACCTGAGAAGGAATCCGATTGATAAGGAAGACAGCTGTTAAGACGCAATCACCCCAATGAGACATAGAGACCTTGGACTCAAAGAATAAAGCCCTTGCAACATTCAATATATGTTGGTGCTTGCGTTCAACCACAGAATTCTGTTCTGGTGTCTCTGGACATGAGTGATAAGAGACTATGCCATGATCTTGATAAAATTGAGTAAACTGAAGCTCTTTTGCATTGTCAGAGCGAACTGCTTTGACTCTTGTGTTATATTGATTCTCAACTCATG